TGGAGAAGCATTGTTGATATGGTAGCCATTTTGTTGTGTTACCCCATTCACTATGTCACCTTTCCGATCTAACTCAGTAATTACACTTCCACTAGAACGTGGAGATGGAGATTTATTCAGTCTTTGACGAGGTGAGATTTTAATATCTCTGAACTTTCCTGGAGAAGGATTTGCCTCCCTTGTCTTAGTATTTGGTGATGCTCCATGGACGGCATGTCTTATTTTGGCTCTGGGAGATAACTCTGCATCCCCAGCCATTAATCGTGAGCGTGGTATCATGGATAACATGGCTTTTAAGGTCTCTGGTGATGCTGATTGGAGGAGATTCTGGAGTGTTAGCTGTTGAGCTGAAGATGGGTTACTGAGCTCTGATCCTGTGTCGTATGCTTGGAATATTCCATCGTCCAATTGATCCATAGATCCAGGGTTACTGAATAAGTCAGGATTGGTGTAGTTGTCTTCTTCTATTTCTGGTGATTCTTCAAAGATAACTGGCTTTGGCAGAGTGTGCTGGAAAAATCAAAGCATGATAACAGGTTTCTGTGGTAACAAAAAAAAGAGCTATTGGACTGAACTAAACTTATACTTTTAATTCTTAACATACATTAGCATTATGTATGTAAAACTCTTTAAATCATCGGTTAAGATAGATTTGAAGATACAATTTTATTCAGAGGAAGAGCAATCTTAGTTTTAAAAAATTCTGAAATATACAGACAACAAAGACAAATCCAATCTTTTTCAAAACATATTAACAAATAGACCTTCATTCCTGGATATTCTAATATTCAAATTCTTACCTGTTTGTTGTCTGGTATGACACCATTTTGTTTTGGAGGTAATTTAGGTATAACTGTATTGACTAGTTCACTAATACCAGAATCAAATCTGACTGATTCACCATGGCTTGAGGATTTTATGGACAAAGAACTTGTTTTCACTGAAAAAAAATAAAAATAATTGGCATTACTGAATGTTTGAAAACAAAAAGGAAGGAGAACAAGAAAACCTCAACTAAAGAGCCTCATGCAAACAGAAGCCAAACCTGAGAGACTAAAGGTTCAGGTACAGAACCGACCAGCATAGGCACACAAGGAGACAAAAATCTCCAGTAGGATATTTTCCACCAAGTCAATAATCACGTGCGGAGCATGCAATTAAAAGAAAAATGAATCTGATTGGATGATGACGGTCTTGTTGCAGAGGATAAAACTATAGGAGACAACTTTCAATCTTGTTTGATATTATAAATCTTGTCGAGAACACAATAATCTTGTCGTGGAAGCACAAGCACATGCGAGATTTTAGTTAATCCAAATCAAGCGACTGTATACCTGTGCCAGCTCCCCATTGCTGCTGTCTCTGAAATTTCAAAGCATTTTGGACTTTAGCTTGTTCTTCTCGTAACAGCTCTAACTGTGTTTGTTGTTGTAACATCAACTGTTCTTGTTGTTTCTGTTGCCATGATCGTAATTCTCTGAACCTGTTTAGCAACCTAGCTTGCTCTATCGCTTGCTGTTGTTCTAAAAGATCCAAGGATGAATCTGAAAATAACCATAATGTCATTGTCAACAGATCCTGAATTGTAGCAGTCAAATCCCAAATCTATTTTTCTTCATGTTCAATTTCTCAGAATCAGAAAGATTGGTGAACTAGCAAATTCATAAAAATTCTTCATATTTGGATATAAATTAACCATCAAATAATGGATGTATTCAGAATGTCACTCTAATGACTAATAACTCAAGATCTTTATTCCAAATGTGGCACCAGAAAAAATGAGCTTATCAAACCAGAATAATAAATAACATACCATGTATTGTTGTATCAGCCTCTGGATTAAAATTAGAATTTCCTATATCATTACGATCATCCATTATAAAGATCTGTTGATATCATAAATTTTATTCTCTTCCCTATCACATATCTTAAAACCTTACATTTAAATTATAAACCTTTCGATTTTTTCACTTTGATTCTCTTTCTTTACCGCTTACTTGTCAACCTTAAATAAGAATAAATAAAGTACAGATTTCTCCTTTGACATTTTATAAATCTGGTTGGACCTTGAAGAAATTTAAGGTCTTCTTAATACGGTTGATTTGTGGAACTGTTGGAGCAAAATTAGTATTACGGTAGCTTAAGTTTAATGTGTTGAATTGTTTTACTTATTAGATGGGTTAAATATAAGCTTTATTAACACATGAATTAAAAATTTTACTACTACTTAATAACCAGTTGCCTTGAACATGATTTGGTATTTGGAACTGATAAATTCCAAAAAAAAGCAGATTCAGATAGCCATCTGTCATCTGAGTGTTTTTACAAAGCCAAAGGTCCAATACAAGAAAAATGTCAAATTCAAAATGAATTTAAAATATTATATTGCTTCATTTGATTAGCGGCCCCTTAAAGAATCTTTTATTCTCGCTCTGCTTCACTAAAGTTTGAGTGGTACCATGTGGACACAGTCTTGATTGCTTTACAGTGCAGAATTAGTCATTCTTTCTTCAGTGATGAGAAATTGAGGGAAAACATTTTTGATTTGTTTACAATCTGTCATCTTATTTCCATCTTCTTCTCACATGAATTTTTATAGGATTTCCACCATAGTTTAATAAGAGAATCAGTCAGTCTTTTAATTCTTTGTTTGTACTGTCTTACACAAATCCATAGGTAATTAAAACTAAGAAATTAAACTTTACTTACGAAGGGTTTGAGTTAGCGACCATGTTTGAACACAGAATGATAGTACTTGGTGGGCGTACAAGCTTTGACTCAACATTGAGAATCATTATGTCTCTTTTTGCAATCTTTTTTTTGCATAAAATTTCTCGAAAATGTATTTCAGAAAGATCCTAAATATATTCTACATATTTGTGAACATTTGATTACGTGAAAAAGAAAACGTACTTTGAATCGGATTTGAAATAATGCACATGTATTTAAACGTAAGCCAAGTGTTATAGTAATTAAGACAAGGGAAGATAATCCATACCTGACTTTTTTTCAGCACTTCGGAGGCAATGCTCACCAGACCTACGTCCTACGGTTCAATGACCTATCTTACATAAACCCCAGTGGTTCAGAGTTATCAAATGTTCTAGGTTTACTTTTTATCTGAAATGATAGTATGCTGTGTCATTCTTGTATATCAAATAGGGTGAGTAAGTTATGAAAGTGCCCCAAGTGAGATTTTTAGTCTGGTGTCAAAGCCTGAGGAGTGAGGTAAGTAGTCTATTTACTTTACTCTTTAGACTGCCTTGCTCATAAAAACACATGTCAAATATTAACATGGGTGCAGATCACGGGCGACACAACCCCCCCATCAGACCTGGCGGGGGAGGGGGGGACATGATATCCTGTGTCCCCCCCACAAACGGTCAAGCTTGGTTGAGTAGAGTATCTGTATTGGACGAAAAATAGGCACAATTTGGCATCCGAGAACATCAGAGTGCCGAAATTTTGCGTCTGTGGCACACTATTTGAACTATTTAAGGTTGAGTGACAGGAAGTTTGTTTGGGGACCCATCTCCACTCACAGAAGCGTTGTTACGAAGGTGCACACGTAGCAAATTTTTTCGTTCGCATATTCATGCTGGATGACTGGAAAATTCAGTAGCATGCATTTAAATAAATCCTGCGTACGTCACTGTGCCCCTGAAAATTAAACTCCATTATCCAACATGTTTTAAAGCTGAAAACCTCTTTACAAACCCTTTAAAAACTGTAAGTATCACCTAGCCTAGAGCACTAATGCCCTACTAAGAAGAAAATGATATGATATGCTATCAGTGTCCTGAATACACATACAAAAGTTAGAAAATCTCTTTACAATTCCTATAATACCTAACAATTGGTCTTTCAAGAGGAAAACTTCTCACTTAATATCTCTAAATGATGAAACTGCCAAATAATAAACCTTTCGCCATTCTTATCCCAGTATTTCCAGTAACATCAGATACCAAGTATCAGATAAATCTAGCTTACTAGTTCATGCTCAATAAATCTTTAATTTTTCAGATAAGAGAAGATTAGGACATCCAACCTCTGCTTAATTTCTGTTAAAAGATGAGAAATTATTGTAATGAAGTTTTTACCAATGACGAAAAGTCAGGAAAACAATGGCAGATATAGTGATTTCATTTAGATCTGTGAATGAATTATTAGATTGTTATATTTTCACCAAAGAATTATCAAAAGTCGACTTTGATTCAGTTGTTCAAGTTATTTTTAACTTTGAACATTTTGATTATGAAGGAACTTCATCATGTGAAGGCTGTCAGTCATTTCAGAGTCGTTCACGGCAACAATTAATAGCCAATCATGTTCATTGTGAATGGTGGAATGTGGAAGAGGAGGAGTTTAGGACTCCCCATGAAATTAAAACTATCCAATCAGTGTTCTCCTCTAATATATTTATTGTTGAAGAAGCAAATCTTTTGTTTTTGTGTTTGAACGCAATGAAAAAATGTGTTTTACTGATGGATGCGCATTTGGCAGCTATTGTGTCAAGGTATTTAAATAAGGATAGAAAATTTCGAAAAGGATTTTGGAAATTTTTACAAAAACACTTTGGGTTTATCTATGGACCTGAATGCACTAAATGGACAGAATCATACAAGGGTTGTGGATATTTGAATGCAGATTATTGTGTTGATATTGTATCTGTTTGGCCGAAACAAAAAATAGATTTTGCTTGGTATGTATAATAAATGGTTACTTTTACTACAGATGTCATATTTGTTTAGTTTAGTAGAATAAGTTAATAAGTCATTTACTACAGATATCATATATTTTATGTCTAGTGATTTACTACAGACATCAAATATTTTAGTCTTAGAAGAATAAGTAATTTAGTGATTTACTACAAACATCATATATTTTAGGTTTAGAGGAATAAGCAATTTAGTGATAAATTACAGACATCATATATGTTAGGTTTAGTAGAATAATGTTTTTAGTAATTTACTATAGATATCATATATTTTAGGTTTAGCAGAATAAATTATTTAGTACGGAAAAGATGTGAACTAGAAGAGAATATGGCCTGGTTATCAACACTTGGTGGTGGTTATTCTTCATTAGGAGACTATTTTACTTATTGTGTAAGTCTTTAAAGAAATACTCTTCATATCTCTTCTGCATATGCAGTCCTGCTTGTTATATGCTGTTGTAGCATGCTTATGAATGTATTGTATGTACTTGTTGTACCCTGTGTTTTACTATTAGAACTTTATCATTTTCAGGCCAAAAAAGCTGGTAAAATTTCTAAATATCAACTGAAACTGGCTATAGAAATGTCCGACCCAATCATGGCTTCAAAATGTCGAGTTTTCTGGGCCCAGAGTTTGTTACAGCAGGGACATTTAAAACTAGTAAAGAAGATTGTTTGGTAAGGTTTTAACTTATGTTTATTTTCAAAGTCAAAGAAAGCTTCAAATGATATAAAGAGGATTATAAAATTGCGAGTCAAGGCATGTACACGCATGACTTCCTTAAGCTTAATTCCAAGATTGATATCTACAGATTCAATAGTCGATCTTGTATTTTGTCTATGAATTTCTATAAATTATGGTTCAAAAGATTTAATCCTAAGATCTTTACATAAAAATGTATCTTTTTTAAATATTTCAGGAATGTGTATCAGTATGCTAAACATAATGGAATAAAAGATATGAGATTAGAGAATATGTGTCAGTCAGTGTGGAATCGTCTTAAATATCTTTATAAATATCATCATAAACCAAACAAGCTACAGACCATTCAAAGTTTTCAAGAAAAAAATGGTTGTTTGACTAAAATATTGTGATTTGCCAGGAATAATTCCATGTGAAAGTATACGAGTATGTCTTCAGGTTTCAATATATATAGTGTTTATATGCATGTAACTCTAGGAAAATAACCATGATAATTCTCTACCATAACAGTATTATTTAACATTGTTTACTATTTGTAGATGGTGATGAGAACCTTGTCTGTTGTGTATCCCTTTATACTGACTAAAAAGTTACCTATAGATTAAGGTTCCAATACTTGGCACTTTCTTTGATCAAACAATGCCAGGTATGATCAAATGGTTGATTAAAACAACTAGACATGCAACTTTTTACTGTATTTTATAATGTCATACCAGTGATTCAAATTGCATGTGTTAAGTGCTGAACATATTTTCAAAGATTAGCAATGTTCCTGATGTATTTTGTTAATATTAAAATTGTTTATTACTTGAATGGTTTGGTCTTTTGCCGTCAAATTCATTCAGTGTATATCAAGTTTTTGATACTGAGAAAATACAATCTATTTTTTTTTTTTCGGCCATACTGAATCCAGAACGAGGCTCATTACATGACATACAAAGGTAACATGGTGTCACTGCAGTAAAACGCCACCTTCTCCAATCCCACTTACTCATTTTCTTTTTTAAACGATTGATATTATCATGATGAGCAATGTCACATAGGCTATGTTCATTCATATGACATCACCTCCTTAACAATGGATGAGATAATTTGCTTTATGAACATCACTTTCAGTGTCAAGAATGAAATGAATGGAGTTTTACATCCTACTCTTCTGGTCTCAAGAATGAGGCAAGAGGTTTATTGTACAATTTTCAACAATCTGAGCTTAATTGGTGCACCAATTAACTTTTTCTAACGGTCCCCTAGCTGTTGATAGCCTGCAAAATCAGTGGATCTAGTGAATTCTAAAGTTTAGCCATTGCAATCTTGGATGTAAATTCTGATGCTTACATGGTGGACGTGCCTTTCTCTAAGAACCCTTTAACTTTGTTGGCACCTAAACATGACATTTCACAATATTTTTACAAGCAATTTCATCTAGGAAATATGGGCTCTGATCTGAATTTGTGAGAAAGCAGACAGGTCTGTAATGGTTAATTTTAACAGCTAATTTGAAATGTACAGGATTGAACTTTTATTTATAATTTTTAAATAGAATACACATCATTGAAAGGACAAGGACTCCAAATAATATCTGATTCCTACAAAATTAGAGCTTGTTTACAAAATTAACAAAAAATATTATTTAACACTCAATTTTCATGATACAATGATTTACTTCTAACCAATACACTGAATGCAGTGAATTCATTTCAATGCAGTCACAATACAATCTTTAACTGTATCAAAACAGAGACCTGGAGACACACAATTAATAAGCACTTTTAGTATGGATTTAAGAACATTTATAACACTTCCTAATGATCTCAACCCATTTCAAACGGGTTTTTATTTATACATGGTTCCTTTTTTAACGCACCTTAGAACCGATTTTTATGTTAGCACAACTTCTCTCAAGTTATTGTCACAGCACTTGTATTGAGTTGATTTTGAAAATTCTTGAGATCAGAGTCACTTTAATTGCCCATCCCTCAGCAAATTAGTCTCACTAGTTGAAAAGGATAGCCAAAATGTTCCGATAAAATTGTTCGTTAGTTGCCAAGGTTATAATTTAAAGATCATTATCATCATCATCTGGTAAAGCTGTTTCTGCTGCATCCTGCAAAGAGAAAAAGATTCAAGTGTTAACAACATTATCATCCAAATTTGATGTATTTCTGTTATTTTAGCCTGCATGATTCGACACAAGCTGCAATCGTGAGAGATTCTTGTAACTGATACAAATAGTCTAGGTTAATGATAGCAAACATTCTTTGTTTATAAAAGGACTGAAACAAGGCCAGCGCCAACAGCTGCAAAATTTGGTAGAAAAGCCTAGAAATCCTAAAATGTCATCTACAGTTCTTTTTTTCATCAAGAATGATGATTTTGTCCTTCTTTGCTGAGCATAAGAACAGAATTGGGTTTCATTTTGAAAGTTGAACAATATACTTACTCTGAGTTCTTCTTCATATCGTCTAAGGGTAGCTTCATCCATTTGAACCTCTGGTGGTTTTAAAGCAGGCATTTCAACAAATGTTAAATCTGCATCTCCCACTAATTTCTTGGCCAACCATAAAAATGGTTTCTCGAAATTGTAGTTACTTTTAGCACTGATGTCATAGTACTGAAAACAAAATAAAAAGTTAACCTATCACAATCATTTCTAAAATAAAAATGTAGAACAAGCTGACAGATCGCACACAAACCACTTCAACAGGATGCTGAAACCATAAAAATTGCAATTGCCGATTCTTGCTGAAGGGTTATCATTTCTAGGTCTTACATTTCTATGTATAACACCTGATCAACACCTTTAAATGTGCAATCAGAAATAATTAGGGCATTAACCTACTCTATAAACCATTCACAGCTTGTAACAATTGGGCCTGTGTTCATCACTTAAGATGCAGTGTGGAATGAAAATGATCAGGGCATTAACCTCTGCAGTTTAAAACAATCAAGCAAACAAACAAAACAAGATAGCCTGCCAGGCAAGATAATTTATTTTTTTCATGTGGGCATATAAAATGAAATGAATGGAGTTTCAAATCCTGCAGGAATTAATCTTAATATAGAATTACCTGTAAATTCTTCTTCCTGTGAAAAACAATAGATTTGGCCTTTACTTTCCTATCTTTGATATCAACTTTATTACCACATAAAACAATTGGTATATTCTCACAAACTCTCACTAAATCTCTGTGCCAGTTAGGGACATTTTTATATGTGATTCTTGATGTTACATCAAACATAATGATAGCACATTGACCTGAAATTCAAATAAATAATACAAAAGTTGGAAATTCGGAACAATGACAGACCTCCTGGAGAAACGATAATCTAGTTTACATACTTTAGCTGAGAAAATGAGGGGAATGCCGTGTCCTGTTCAAATGTTAAGCTCACAGGGCTTTGTTTTCTTTGTGTCATCTAATCAAATGGTTCATAGACAGACAATAATTGATGAATGACATTGCATTTTGTCTGTTCAACTATTTTATTAACAAACCTTGAATGTAGTATCCATCTCTTAAACCACCAAATTTCTCTTGACCAGCTGTGTCCCATACATTAAATTTAATATGGCCTCTATTTGTGTTGAACAACATAGAATTTACTTCTACACCCAATGTGGCTGAAAGGTAGAAGTGTTATTTTTAGTTTTATATGAAAAGGACAGAATACTGGGCACAGTTTCACAAAGAAAAAAACCATAAAATCAAATTTACCAGTGTTCATGAAAACTCATGACAGATTTGAAGGGAATGTCTGTGAAACAAGACAACATATGATGAGTGATAAAGGATACTGGTAGCAATAATACCATTGAAATGATACTGACTGTTAACCATAAGACAAGTTAAGCCATGGTACATAAATACTAGATTTATCAGCAATTGTTCGTACAAAGTAGACCATTTGTGACATAAAACAAAACTTGTTAGGTAAAACCATATTTTTAGGATAGGGTTCAATGCTAACTTACCAACATATTTCTTTTCAAATTCTCCTGTAACGTGACGTTTTACAAAAGTTGTTTTTCCAACACCACCATCTCCGACTAATACAAGCTGAAATTCAAAAAAATTATTCTTATAAACTCACTTCAATTCCACTATTTTGACTACAGGTAATTTATAATTGCAAATTATGTCAATATTGAAAGAGTTATGGTGGCCTTCTCAAAGAAGTGTCTAATACCACAGTACCGGTATGCCTGATACAGTATAGTCACATCTTTTAACAAGTCCAGTTTGAACCCCACTGTACTAAAATTTGTCAAAGCTATTCTACTTTTGAGAAAGCAGAGACTACCGGTACCTGGTTAAGTTAACTTCAACTGTATAAAAAATAAATTTTCCTACTGTACCTTGAATGTTGGGGGTTCTACTACTTGTGCCATAGTTGTGTCTTGTTAACGTTCTGATATCTTTATTCAAAATCAATTCTGAAAAATCAGATATTTGTTATGATCATTAAAAATTCAACATATGATTGAATCTTGCTTGGTGATCTCATAGGCCTACTGATATTGAATAAGTTTATAGATTTCACCACAGTCACAAGATTTTTTGTCCAGTTCTGACTGCAATTTACTGGATGAACCCACATTATTCAACAATAACATTGTAAAATGATTCTAAAAATAGGGAATTAGTAGTCCATTAGCTCATTACCAAGAGACCATGCAAGTTCTGAATGAATGGAAATTTCCATGGCCATGATCTGAATATATGAACCATTTTACAAATCGATTAAAAATAAAATTGCGATGTTATCATGGACAATGCCTATTCCACAAAGGAGTAGGTTAATGGTCGTACATTCATTTACAATACATTTCCCCACCAACTAATAGCTATATAGATCTTACTCGTAATATTTCTCTTTAGAATATCACAAAATTAAATTGAAGCGAGAGAAAATTTCTTTGTTGTCATTTGTATTGAGTTATAATTAATCAAAGGAAATATGTTCTCAGTGAAATAATCATACAAAATAACAGTTCAATATCTCATCTATACAATTTATTCCATTATTTAATTCATTAAATGTGATAAATGGTCCGATTGAACCGGATTTATTTCGCATGAAACTCACCAATCTCTGTGCTTAGTGACAATATGGCGCTGAAGGAAGTAGTAAGGCAGTTCGAACCGGTTCAACTTTGTTCGCGCGCAATTTCATTGAACAACGAGTTGTGCCCCTTGAATATGGAGAAATTAACTGTGGTCGTAATAATCTTATCTGATGACTAAATTACAATTTGTCATTTAATTGCGATCTAGTAATATGCTCACTGGGTTAGTAATGACATTTTATGAATAGCAAAATATACTCATGTAGCCTATCATTAATGGAGGCTATAGAACAGGTGTGGAGTTTCATTATAGCATAGATAAACACTATATTGCTACTCCTTGTGGGATATAAAAAAAACTTTGGGATAATATTCTGACACACAATGTGAAAAAATTTCAGAAAAAATATAATATGGCTTACCTTCTGGCAAAATCATATAGAGCATGCATATACCAACTACGCTTTGCTCGGGTGTGTTCTAAAATTATTTATTTCCTGTGTTGTAACTGTGACTAATGATTTCTATTTTCACCCGAAAAGTCTTGCTTTGTTACTCCCTGAATCTGTAAATGGAAGATCTCATACGTTTACTATCGGTTTAGCCTAATCTATCGGAATGATTGTAGGAGCACATGGTAATAGATTGATTAACAATATTCATTTCGATCATAAAATATTAACTTATAGCCTAGTAGCCTACTGCATCCACCAAAACTATTTTATGATATACATATGATATACATTAGAAAAATTAAAACAGAACCTAAAAACCATGTTGTCACCTTGCATACGTGAAAGAGATTGTAAATAGTATTTCTGACCTATTTATGAGCATCTTGGACATCAATTTTTGACAATCGCAAAAGCCCCTTTAAATAGCATTATAGCAGCATATGCGTCTTGCGATAGTGACATATTCATATACGGTTCGGCATTCCTATAATTACAGCTTTAGGAATCACAGATATCTGGCAAAAACTTTAAATAATGCATATATAGAAGTAATTGTTCTAGTAGGCCTACTCCTGATGATTTTATTTGAAAAGAAACCAGTTACTTATATATACTTACTGTGGTTCGTATACGTCACCGTATGTATATGATTATACATAGACCTAAATCGACAATGGCACTAATGATGATAGTCTAATAAAACAGGACTTCGCTTTTTATTTTAAATGTTGAAAGGTGCTCGCTGTGGATAAACAAAATCATAGCCTAATCATAATGAACGAAAAAAAATTCTGAAATATTAAAGAAAAGCGATTACTGACTACCTGGAAAATATAGACATATGAAAATAAAAACACATTCAATTTATTATGTGGAATTTCGTCATCGTCGATGTCACGGATAAGTATATCATGTAAATTTTTGTTTTTAGAATAAGCTGTAACTAATTTTTTTTTTAAAAATAGTTGGGGATATATTTTGTAAATCTGAATAGTATCTTTTGATAATACCTGATGCTTTGCAAGAAATACTGTTAAATATAGCAACAAAATGGGATAATTTGAGTCATAGATTACTGTATGGTTAGTCCAGAAGTTGAAATAGTTTGTATGTAGTTGGTTTATCCAAAAGTTCTCCCTGTAGGCTTAAAGTCTGGAACTTTAAGGGTCGGTTTCAATTGATGTAACTTTCATTATAGTCTTCGAGGGAACGATTTATGAAGTTGAAATGATAATGTTAGAAAACAACTTTATAGCCCAGTCCAGGGAACGATTCAAATAGTTAGTGACATCTTCGGGCTATTACGAAATTTGATTTCCGAACGATTCCACCGACAAATTTTATTCAGAAAATATACATTTACATTAATCATACACTTACATTTTTTGTTTGGCTTACATTTATGACAACTATATAGACCTACACAAAAATTCAGAGAAACGTGGCCCCTCAGCGTATCTGAAAATGTTAACTAACAAATTTCAGCCGTTGATTTTTTAACGCCAAAACTATTTCAAAAGATTATGTAAAGTTCGTTATGCTTTTTGGTAGGTATAAAGTTTTTTGACGGAGTTTTAAATCCTACTTTTCTGCACATGTGCATGTGGGCTAATGAAAACGGCCTTTGATAATGGTAGGTGTAGGAAACCACTGTACAGATTTAAATTTCTGGAAGGAAGCTGCCTACGTACCCTACATTTACATCTATAGACTTATAATTTCCCAAAACTATAGTAAATGAACTTTAAATTTTGGCTACATTTAAGACCCGCTTTTCCACCGCTTTTAATTCTAAACAAAGTCTATCGTATTAAACATTATATGTTGTCTGAAACATCCATATCAGCAGGTGCCCGTTACACCCCTTTATAACAGATGGCGCTACGAGCAATATTATGCTACCGGAAATAGAATACACCAGGCTGATCATGCGCAATGCTATCCTAAATATACTCGATAATATTAAAATAGTATCGATTCACCGACAACTGTCATTTTTCCTTGTGTTTAAGTTAATTTTACCCTTTTTACATGGCCTAGAAAAATAATTCCAGCCTTTTTGAATTTCTAGTCTGCCCAAGACTTGAGTTGAATGTGAAAAATGACGAAGGATCGTTTGGCAGCTTTGAAAGCGGTAGGTTTTATATGTCGTGAACTGCAGGTTTGGAAGCCCAACCCACTCCACTCAATCTGAAAATGTTATATTCATCCGTTCAAAGTCACTTTTCACTATATATTGTCTTTAGAGTTGCATATTTTACTATCCTGCTTATGTCTTTTATGTTTGCAAATCTGAAATTCTGTGATTTTGATTGATTCAAAGTTCATATAACTATGGTTCCATTTATAGTAGAAATCGTCTGTGAACTATTCCTGATACATGTCATGTCTCTTGATTGATGCTCAGATGCATTCTTAAATAGATGTGTATTTGTTTCATGGCTAAACTATGAGCGTTTATGTTTTCATCCAATCAACTATCAAATTCTGTCCCTACCTTATTTTTTATATACCTGTCCTTTCATGAAAATCATTTATTGGCGTTTTTCGCACTCCCAGCAAAAAGCATTTCTATGAATAGAAAAGATAATGTTGATATTAATCAAAAGTTGATTTGATTAAACTATATGGTAAGATAATTGATTATGTAGTAGATGCAGTGTTATGCCTAATCCCTTTTAGAATACTTCTGTTAATAGGCTTTCAATTTCTTGGATTGGGTTATAAGTGTAAGGGAAGGCCTTCATTATTGTCTTCGAAGCATTTTCGGTTTATATCAGTTTCCTTGAATAATACATAGTTAACAATCAGAAATATATATGATAATTGGCAAAGAGATGAGGTCAGTATGTCAGATGCTGAATATCCATCAATTATTAATATAAATGTATACAAGGACGAATTAGTGCATGTGAAGAAAAGTAATGTCAATTAATGATTTTGTAATATTTGATATCAACAGGGTATATTAATGCTGCAAACACAGGTTAAGGATATAAAATCGTTACAAACAGTTTGCTTTTTCATGGGGGGTTAAGTTTCCAATATAAGGATAGGTCCTATATAATAAGCATATATTGAGCATGATGAGTAAACTCAATACAGGTATAAATTTGAGGTTAATATCAGGCTCGCACATCTTTTGTAAAATCAGTAAAATGTAAGTTACAATGTCTGTATTCATCAATTCATGTTAAGGAGATACACAGTGTGTTATCTAAAACCCATGGGGTGCTAATTATAATCATGTAAAGTTTCATTTCATAAAAGTAGAAGTGCTTCACATTTGGTAGTTCCATTGTGTTCGGTAATTTGGATGTTTAAGTATGATTTAAAAGATATTATAAGGAATTTTTTCTTGTGAGTCAGTTTGTATAAAGTGACATCATAAAACGCATAGTTTAGTGAAATTGCAAGACCTAAAGACGTATGACTGAAAATTGAATGGTACAAATTGATGCAAATACTCTTAAAAAATGTTAGGAAACCCTCTTCTCCTAAGTTTATTAAACCTTCAATATGAAGCACTGGCTTTTGTTTGTGAAATTTAGCAGATGCTATAGAGTCTACCACTGTAGCTTATACACATACATCATGTTGTTATATTAGATGAATCATAATCTGTTTTTACCAATGATGTATAATATAACACAGAGTGAATACAGTAACCTACTTTCTATGTGTTACCGGATTAGACCCACAATTTTTTGATCTGTAGATTGTGTAGTCATTGATCTTTACATATTTAGTTTTATTGGAGTTAACAAGTGCTTTTAGAAATTCATTGATACTTCGGGAAACATGCTTGAGCCACTTTGATGTGCTGGATTGTGATGTTAATTATCAGTAATTCAGTCTGAAATAAAGATCTTGATGTCTTTCTGGAAAAAAAGGTTTTGAAGCCATTTCATTAAAAAAAGAATTCAAGTTTGATCTGTAGAATGTCTACTGAGTAATGAAGGCTCATTAATCCAAGACACCTTAAGCCACTCTCTGATTGTTCTTGTCAACTCAGTACTGGTATTTTTTTGAGAGAGTACATAACCACAAATGATTCATTTCTTTTAACTGATGTTTAAAACTTAAATTGAATTGTACTTGAATTAAGGCTTATATTATCCTTGACCTATTCAAAATGGAAACTCCCTTTTAATGTCACGAATATAAACATTTAAGGAAATGAAATTGTAAGTACTGAGAAACTGATGTTATTGTTGAATTATTATTTTGAATTAATCGTCATCGCACAATATTGGCTCAGGAAGGAAATAAGTTATCAATAACAATCATTACCAAATTTTGCCTATTTTGAGGTTTGCTTTGGAAACAAAATGTTTCCAAGTTTGATAAGAATTTGGAGTTCTAAGGTAGGATTATAGCAAGATAGTAAACAATATTGAATGAATAATTTATAATATAATAAGTAATGACATCATAATATGACCATTGTATGCACTTATGAATTGCAGAAGAACTATACATTGAGTTTCAAATTTGCTTTTCATTTATTTGTCAGAAAAAATGTTTGTAAATATGTTAAATTTGAATTGTAAAGGAATTGGCAGAAATAAGGAATATTTACCTAATCAATGACTACAGTTCTTTAGTTACGGTACAAAAACCAGATTTTTGTTGAGTCATTCTTATGTCTAATCAAATGCTTACAAATGTATTGAATCAAGAAAATTTTCCGCAGGAAATTTGAATTTTCTCCTACACAAAGACAAGGTCTTGAGATTTTCACACAATTAGGAAAATATATTCTTATCTAAATTTTTTCTGTCTGAGTAAATGTGTAAGTAGAAGAGGAATTTAAATTGTAAAGCAGTTGAACTGTCTACAGTCTCAAGAGTAGAATATTGATTTTAAAACATTGTCAATGTTCTAATAAATATTTTTATGGGAAATAACATTTTAATTGATTATCCATATAGTTTATTGTTTTTAAAGATCTGATTTTTCTGGGAAATTGTCTAATATTTGCAGAAAATATTGATATTTTCTTTTACGTAAGAAAAGATTTTCTTGTCGCAGAACAGTGAGATCCTTTTAAGATGCCTTTTTTGAATACCATATGTTTTTGTTTTTGCACTGTCCTTTTTCTAATGTTATGTCACTGTTTTGATCTGACTTTGATGATACCGGTACTTAATTTGTGTATTGCGTGAACTCTAGAATTAGATCAATGTCAGAGATTACCGTTGAATCTAACTTGATGAAACTTGATTTTGTTACATCGATTGGCCATATTATGAATTATGCGACAGTTTTTGTTTGAAAATCTTTGAAAATCTTTATTAAGTTCTGTAAGTAGATGATATTCAGTTAGTAGCCTGGAAACTAAGAATGTTGTGTCCCTTAAAAGAAACCATCAATAATTCAATGTAGTTTTATTTTTATAGCAATAAAGTTGTATTGAAGTAAAGAATCAAGATGACATATAGAATGAAAATGTAAATTGCTTATATCAGTACGGTATATCAAATGTTATTTGGTTGGTTTCAAATCCCGGTTGCATCAACCAGAAATAATATATGGCGTGAAAATTTAAAATTTCTCTTACTTAAAGGGACAAATACGCAATTTTTTTTTCACCAATCATACTTTTATCTCAGAAATAGGAAGAAATTTGAGCCTTCAAATACATGCCTGTCCAGAATTACCCATGTTTGAAAGATAAAAAGACCAGTATCCTTTTCTTGAGACACTGCCCTATAAAGAAGGTATCTATAGAAATAGGAAAAGAAATGCCTAGTTTGAGATATTTTTCACATTTTGGTACAATTCTAATGCTTCTGGAGACTATTTACATTTATTCAAGACTCAAATCAACCCACCAAAATGGGACATCTGTCCCTTTTAGCTTATATTATGGATTATTAAATTGCATACATGAGAACAATGCTACTGAATTTGAGGAAAATATGCTGATGTCAATATGTTATTATATTTTCACCAAATTAAAATGAAATAGATTTTTTTATGTGTTTTTTAACCAACCCTATGATATTGAACTTGAAATAATAAAAGTTTAAAGCAACATCAATAGTACAATGTTAAGTTACTTTGTAACTGATATAACTTGATGACTAGATTAATATTTGATAAGTTAGAGTAAGGTTAACATGTTCTATCTATTCTTACTTTTATTTGATCAATTTGTCTGATTTATCTCCCATGATTTAAATCATAGAAGTCTAGGAACTATAACGAAGTGGATACACAGGCTTCTGTTTTTGTTTAAAACAAAGATTTAAATTATAATATTCTATTAAGCTAAAGGGGCTAGTTCATAGACAAACTCTGTCCTCCCGTTATTTAGATCAGAATGATTGAAAATGTAGAAGTCCATTCAGTTTATAAGGTTCATAGACATAATCCACCCCTATTTATTTTTTATAAGAATGATTTAAATGGAAATTGTCTAATATGGTAGTGAGACTAGTGGGTAGACAAGCTACACCCCCATTTATTTACGTAAATAGTTTAAAGTTAAACTAATAGGTTTGTTTATAGACAGACTTTAGCTAATTATATTACTGTACTTATCTGAATTAAAAATCAGCACCAAAATGCCCTAAGATTCAATACTGTACTTTGGAAGTTAGCATTTTAAAGTAAGTAATGCGTTCTCTAATCTTGACAGATTGATTTTTATGAACGTGATCCATGGTACAGAATTTACTTGCTATAGTGAAACATGGTAGAAATATAGGATAGTCTCATGACATGTAGAAACAATGGAAATCTTCCTCTGTGCTTTTAAAAAGTTTTAAGATGTTAAGTTTCATAAATATTAATATTTGTAAATTGTTGTGATAGAAATGTTGAATTCAGACCATCTGTTATGATTATTTTTTAATGGTCTGATGTGATTATTGATAATTTCATCATATTGATTAATATAACAATCACAGTAATAGTATATCTATTATTCCTTTCAATAATTGATGCAATATATTGAGTACCAACTGTCCTTATAAAATATCTGTTTCACTCTACTCCCTTGTGGTAGAAGGGGTCGACAGATTACATCCAAATTAGCAAATGACAGAGCTTTTTCATTGGCTTTAACAGTCAAAACAACAATCCTTTTTTCCTTTTTCCTGTTAATTAAATAAATGGAACGATACATCATGAAGTAACAACATTACTCTTCAGATATATTTTCACTTCCTTTGTAAAAATCCAACCGGCTACCTTGTTTTTGTTATTGAAGAAAATGTCCTTGTGTATTACAAGAATGGCAGTAGTCTAATAATTATATCTATTATAGAATAGAATAATTAATTAAGTGTATCAAAGATTACTGTTTCTATTAGGTGAACTTCACATGCTCCTGTGTGGGTTTTTGTTGAGGAAAAAGTCAGGTGTACTGCAGAGAGACTAGCTCCGACTACATGCAAATTGTTAGAATGAAAAAATGACTTTGTCAATCAGGTTGCCAATACAGTCCTAGATTTGTTTGTATAGCCTTTATTTAAAATGTGTGCTGAGTTATATCACAGTGCTGTATCTGTACTTCTACCACTTCTGAGCTGTACCTCTAGCCTAGTTGTTCAGAATGAGATGCAAAAGAGCTCAGTTTGCTCTTGCATTGATAAGGCCAGTGCATTCACACAGCTTTTTTGGCTTATCTGTTTCTGTTAATCTTTTTCCCTGTACTCTCTTTCTTGTGAAACAGCTTAGTTGCTGAATAAAAAAGATCAAGTGTCTTGGGATGATCCCAGTTAAAAAATATATGTAGATCATCTATTGTTTATTGAATAACTAATTAAATATAAGCATTGAATTCCAATTGTCCTTATCTCGAAATTTATCTATTCCCCCTTTACTTACTGTTAGTGTATATACGGCCTTCATCTTTTCTATACACACAAGTAGAAAAGGTCTTACATGATGGCATTCAGGCATTGTAATAATTTGTCATAAATATATTTATTATTTCGTTAATTTGACTTTGATGAACATTTTCTTACCCCTCTCAGCGATTATTTTGTGTTACCTGTTTCATTATGTAAGATTTCATGACATAAGTCTTTATGTGATAAATTTTGATTTTTTTTTCCAGGCCCAGAGTGATGATGATGATGAACATGAAGTGGCTGTCAATGTGGACAGTGGAGGATTCATGGATGAATTCTTTGAACAGGTCAGTCAATTTGTTAAATCTTTTCCTGTGTCGTAGCCTTGAGACTGAGACCAGCACTCACATGAAAATAAGTTCATATTTAATATGTGTTCATTAAACCCATTGCCATTATCCTTTGCTTAAATTTATTTATATTTAGTTCAAGGTATATATCCAAAACCTGGACCTCTCGTCGCGAAGTGCCAGGGCCTTGCTTTCTCTCAAATTCTTGGCATTGAAATGGTATATGATATTAAAATCATTTACAAAAGTTTAATTTTAAATGAGCATCATTATTATATCCTTTTTATTTTGACTTCATTGACACCAACTTTGATATCAGCATCATTAATATTGCTACTATGTTCTGTGTATTACAGGTGGAAGAGATCCGTGAGATGATAGATAGAATAGCGTATAATGTAGATGAGGTTAAAAAGAAACATAGTGCTATCCTTTCAGCTCCTAATACAGATGATAGTAAGTATTATTTCAATGTGAAGTCACCCAATTCAAAGGCATTCCTATTTTGGAATTCAGCTGTCTATAGGACAGAGAGTTGTTTAGTTGTAACTCTTAAGCTTATCCATTGTCATCAGAATGGTGTTGATTATGAAAAGGGAGTTCCAATTGAGAAACAATTTTGAACTTCATACTCTTCATGACTCTTCACTGAATATAAGTGCATACAATTTTATTTTTTCATGCAGAAATGAAAGAAGAGCTGGATGATTTAATGTCAGAAATCAAAAAGAGTGCAAATAAAGTGAGGGCAAAATTAAAAGGTAAGCCATGATTTATTGAGATGTTACTGCCCAATGTTTTTATAATAGAAAAATTCCATTGTCCCAAACACAGTTCTTTCTTGTTTTGAGAATTCATATTAGAGTTGAAGCAACTACTTTTTTGAAAACGGGTAATCTTCCCTGGAATCTACTAATTACAAATAACATATATACAAACATAGTAACATGGTAGAAACATTGTGTAAATATATAACTACAGGAACAGGGCAAAAAAAAATACAATGTGCTAAAAAACTATATAAATGAAACAAAACTAATATGATACAAAACGATATGAATGTATTTAGTATGAAAATAGATCGTGATAGATAACAGTAGACTTATATAGAAAAACAAAGTTGCAATGAGAGGAAACACGAATTCAAATTTAATCCTCACTAGGCATCAGTTTCTTCTTTAGTCCATCTTTGAAATTCTGAAGACAATTTAAGAGATTGGGGTAACGAATTCCTATGATTGTGGCATATACAGTTTGTGATGGATTTTGAAATATCACATGAAGGAGCCCAAGATATAAATTCATGTCACTCTGAAAACCCAAAACTGCCATTTGTTCATCATCAAGATTACAACACTCTAACTGCATGTGCTAGTCTGCTCTCAAATAGTCGATCCTTTCATTATTACCTATAACTTAACTTTTGGTATCAGAGTTGATTTGAACTATTCCGTCTGTGACTCGGTGTTCAGACTGGCTTACCTGTCATTCAATGATTACATTTATCAATAAAAAGCAGAAATTGATCTTTAATTGCTGTAGGCGGATGAATCATAGAGTTTATACTATAATTCCGAGCTCTGCAGCCAATTAAAGCTGCAAATTTATTTCTAAGTATTTATGAAGTAGAAATTGAAATAGGGTTTTGCTTTCAAATATAATTCCTTATGATTAATTATCTGATGCGCAGACATTTTCTGAAATTGGCAATGTTAAAAAGAGACAAAAGTAGTGCAATTTGTATGTTCATTTTTCTTTGTTTAAGCTTATAAGATTTTTGAAGTATTAAAGATTAACAGTAATTGATATATATTTACACCATAATATTTAAACTTGCTTGAATTTAAATTCCACAATAATGACATAAAATTAGCATATATTAGCAATTATGTATGTTCTGTGGAAGGGATGACAAATATACAAAACCATTTGGTGAATGGTGTCAAGAGTTATGAAGGGTGAGAATACTCTGCTTAAAATGGTATCCTCTCACAGAAATTAATGAAGTTTGGCTAATTATTTAATAAATTACATGTATCTTGATTAATTAATTTAGCCTTGAGCTTAAAGCTGATATTGAAAGGTAAGCTTAATACTTGAAAAACTGTGTATATGAAAAGTTTTAGACTTTTAAGAAATTTCACCAGATGAAGGCATTAATCCTCTCTGTTGTTGAAGGGTAAAGACAATAAGAAGTTGTGATGTTGACTGCGGGTGTGTATTCTGGTGTCAATAATTGAATTATAGTTCAACATGGAAAGTAAGCCGAGAGTAAAAGACTTTATAATGACATTAATTCCACTGATATTAAACACTGTCATTATAACAATATAGCGAGGGCGTTATCAAGGAATTTGTTATCTACAAGGAATCTGATTTTTATTTGGTTTATATATATATATTTACTCACAGATTTGAAGACAAAGCCTTGTTTTCATTCAACGAATCTGGTAATTAAGGAATGCAGCAAAGACTTTGAAAAGGGAAAATATTGAAATCTGTTCAAGCAAAACAAATCTGTTAACCAAAAACCTTGTCCAAAGCATGAGAAAATCTGGAGCAATAACTTCATAGAAGTACGAGAAGTACCATCATGTGTATCATAAAGTTTCAGCATTGTCTGCTTTGCTTGCAAAACCATAGAAAATGGATGTAAAGAGCTATATGACCTATGTAAGCAATGCAGAGTTGACAATTTTACTGACAGAGTGGCATCACATGTTCTCACAAGTGATTCATATTACCCTATATATTGTAGCTAGATGACTTGAATCTTGCAGCTAAAATTCAGATTTTAATTGTGATAAGATTTGTAAACTAGCTTGCTTTAAATAGCTGACAGAACTGATGATAAGAACTAGTAAAAATCAATGTTTTTTCTCCTAAATACCAGATATAGACATGTTACATCTTTATTATCCACAAACTTAGCTTTGAATATATCAGTATTGGTTGAGTAACCCGGCTAGTAATCAATGAAGGAGAGAAAGAAGTTGAAACATTCTTATATTAAGGTCCAAGAAAGTCCTGCCAACCAGCTGCTCCTTTGACAATTCCCTTGACAATAATCTTTCAGAATCCATTTACAGTTTGTTGTCAAGAAAAATGAGAAAAGATGACTTATTCAAGGTCACCAGAATAGATCTTTAATTAAAAAACAGCTTAAACTTTCGTTAGTATTTTAAATATTTTTAACAAGGTATTTTGGGCAACAGACCTCTCTTACATTTGCAATGGGACAAACATTCAAGTATAATGGCTAGATTGAGGTGAATATCAATCAAAGTGATGTTTCCCTTTCTTCAAGCTGAAGTGATAACTGAAGAAATACCATAGTTAATTTATTTTCTGTGATTGGCATATTGTTATTGGATAGTAAATAGTCATATTACTATTTCATGGACAACAATTACTTTAGTTTAATTATAGACAGATTAATATGATGTCAGATTTTTATCACGAAAAGTATCAACACAATTCAGACCTGAGAGAACTGAAATTTTGCCAGTTGAACGCAATATTTTTCAAAGTGTCACCAATCGGTGCTGGTGGTTTCCAAACTATGGGACAATTTGGAAACTTCCTCAGATGATATGATCTTATGCAGAAATCTAAGAGAATCAGAGCGTGAATGTGTTGAAAAGAGTCATTTAAAATAGCCATGCAAAAAATACTTGTGGATATTTGTTACATATATTGTTATATATAAGACATGAAATGTTACCACAGAACCTAAAAAAACATGTTGTTGTTACCTAGAGTTTCACGCTGCGAGATCTTCATACAACTGACCTATTTCAGCCTGCGTCCCTGCTGAAGTTGGACAAGTAGAAGTTATTCTCGTGTCTACACTTCAAGACGGGTTAAATGATTATCAAATGCAATGCATCTATAAAAAGGAAATACTCTTGATTCATAGGAAAATTTTTGCAGGCCCTGTAATCTAAGTCACTCAACAAGAGCTAGAATTCACCCTAATTTAGCACCTAAACTGATGAAACCTAAACTTGGAAACCTATCAATGATATATGGAGTTTGTGAAATAGACCAGTATATAACTCTGAATTTCTATCAACCTTTCTCCCTATAATTCTTATTAATGTTTCTATATATTTCAATTATTTTACAATTCCATGATTTATAGGCCAATTCTATTGATTTTTTCACACTAACTGCAGATCAATGACTGGCTCTGAGCTCAAATATTCACTGGTGTTTTTTTTATTATATGTTGTATATATATATAATCATGAAATATGCATTTGATAGATTTTTTTTTGTGAAATTTATTGCTTCTTCAATTTTCTTCTCAAATGAAGTTGTCTTTCATGGTATTTTTTCGGCATATTATCTTAACTATGGTAATGAAGACGTGCAAATCTACATGTAGTTTGCTATAAAGAAAATATTGCCAGGACATTATTAATTTACATAATACTTGTCATTGTACAATAAGAGCTCAGACTGTTCACAGTCTTCCTTTGTACCATTTATACTTAGTGTTTTCTTCGTATCAAAGAGGGAGCCACAGTGGTTCAGTGAATTAGATGCTTGCTTCATAACCTGAAGGTTCAGGGTTCAATTCTGGCAAAATGGAGATAAAACCTACAGATTTTTAGGCCTGGTTTCCTGCTGTCATGCAGGTTTGAGGGGTTGACATAAAAAGCGTCTAGTCACGTTAATGGCCACTCGACAGTTCGAAATAAAAAAACAGGCTGGTGCCAAATTTCCTTCATTGCACACTCTAAATGAGTAGAAAAGAAGGGTGTATAAATTCATTCATTTCATTTGAATCAAAGTGTTTAAACTCCAATGTGACTAACATATTGATTGAAATGGAAACCGGCAAGTTAATTAGGAAGCAAGGAAACAATTTAAAGGGACAGAGCTCCATTTTTATTTGACATATCGTACCTTAGTCTCAAAAATGGTTTTTTTTTTTAGCTTAGCCAATCAGTAATAGTGTTCACAGCTCACTGTCCAAATTTGAGCCTTCAAATCCATGTGTTTCCAGAATTATATGCATTTGAAGTTTGACAAGTTTGTCTTTTCTTGAAACACTGCCATATATAGAAAAGACATCTATAGAAATAAAAAGTTCATAGTTTGAGATATTTTTGAAGGAATTATGGGATTTTGGTGCATTTTTGGTACTTTTGGAGACTATTTACATTATATTTAAGACTCAAATCAACCCCCCAAACATATATTTATTATATATTTCATCAAGAAAAAAAACCGTCTGGCTTGTAAATTACATGTTACTGTACTGTTAGACTAGAAAATAACTAGTAATAGTGAAGTGATCAACAATGAATAGATTTCTCATGTAAATATTACCTTACAAAAGGTCAATTATCTTGAGAGTTGTTAAAAATTATCATTTACACTAAGCTGAGCTAAGCTTGACTGATGACCAACACCCAAGTGAGAGATGCAATTATGACTGAATTGAGAAGTTGATTGCTGAATTCAACTTCCCTTCTGTGTATATTATAAAAGGGATTGGCTATATGTGAGACATGACAGAGATATACAGCTTAATCAAAATTGTGTTAGGGGAAAAACAAAAAATTGCACAAGTCAATAAAAATAACTGTGTATTGATTATTGTGAACAATAAGCAGCATTTTGTAACAACAAAGATAACATTGAAAGATAAAATCATTAGACAAAAAATGATAGCTGGAGGCCATTGATACTTTATCATTGCACAATATTGACAGAACTCTCCTATCTTATTGATGAACTGCACTTGATCTTAAACTTTTCATTCACAAATTTCTAAATGATATTGTGTATTTGCATTTTGTTTGTTGAATTTATCTGAAAGTAGTTAACAACTTTGCCAAGAGACACCAATATTTTATATGACAAATGACTAATAGAATACAAAATGTTATAATAAGTAGAAAAAGTTGAGTCTTGATAGAATTTTGGCCTCTCTGAGCTGTAGAAAATCTTCAAACGTTTTCTTAAACAAAATCTATCACAGCCTGGCTGATTTGGCTTAGTTATTGAAAATTTTTAGAAAAAGGCATTAACTATGGTACTTCTCTCCTCCTTTTTGGTAGTTTTTGGTGTTTTTGATACCAATATGGTTGATTGGTAATTGTTCTGCGAAATAATTGACCAATCAGTGCCCCTAGTATTGAGCAATTGTCTTTCTGTTACAAAGTGTCAAACAAGACCCTATACATTGAATCCCATTTTGCCAATTTAAGATTCAAATCCCAATCTTTAACAGAAACTTTCTGTTTTAATTATCATTTTAAAAACAATTTGAAAATCCTAAGTTGACATTTAGAGATGAATTAATATTCAAATTGAGTAAGATGGTCTGATTTGGTAGACTCAGGGGACAAATATTAGACAGAATCGTCTATTAACTAGCAATAACAGGGAATCACCTCAGATTATCACTGCTGTAAATAGCATCAACTAGTCTAATTATATAAGGTAGTGGACAGTGATGGACCATACTCAGACTGTTATTGGACAGTACTATATACCTTACTATACCGTTCTTGGCTTTCTGATAGTTATATTGAATTAATATGACTTTCCTCATATCCAGCTACTCAACTCTTCTTGCAATATTTGGTATTCATATTAATAGTATTGATATCTTGGCAATAGTTTGCCTTCATACTATTCTGATACCGAAGCAGGGCTGCTGATTTATTTGTATGTGCTAGTCATGTCTTATACCATGAATTTACCAACAGTTATCTCCAAGTTTAAGTCTTTAAAGTCCCACATTGAATGTATGTAACAAATGTTCACCTGTCAGTGATCAAAGGTTAGCTGTGAAAACTAACTTGTACACCTCTTGAGATATAAAGATGGTCTCATGCACACTATCATTAATCTAGTCTACATACATATCTTAAGTTCCCACTCATTTATTCCTTTATTAAATGGTTTGGCTATTCATAACAAGTTAATTGATAGCTTGGCACCATATTTTATCATGGCATTGAAGTCTTCGATTTGAGTCTTAGAAATATCAGGATTGGTTAGCATTTAATCATCAGTCTAGTATTCTTATTACTGGCATTGATTTGGCGCCAGAACACTTAATAGAAGTCACCCATCTAAGTCCTTAGAACTATCAGGATTGGTGAGCATTTAATCACAAGGAGAACATATATACTCTTGTACCTATTGATTAATAAGTTCAAAAATACAAAATCAATAAACAGACAAAAAATGTAACTGAATCACAATCATATGACAAAAAACGAATTCTTTCAGAATTTCCTCAGGTTAGAGAGGAAGACTTGAAAATGGTTATCTGGATTTTCTGACAGACTATGCATGTAACAAACTATCAAAGTTAAATGTGTCCCTGGCCAAATATCCATAATTTTTGTCCTATAGTCAGACGCAGAACAGTAATATGTTATGTGATTAAAATAAGATTTTTGGCATATAAAGCATGCAATTAGCTAACAACAGGCTGTTGGTATCCAGGACGGCTTAGACTCATTTCTTGTCTACCTCATTATTCTGCTATAAGTTATAGATCTGATTTCTTCTTTTGATTTTATGTATTGATGCATCGAAGAATGTTTTTCCAGAAACAAGGCTGGATTTTATGTGGGGAGGGAAGAAGTATGTTATATATTGAGCATGGAATTAGCTGACAACATATTAAAGACAGCACTGCTTAGACTCATTTTTTGTCTACCTCATTATTTTGTAGACTTACTGTTTCTTTTTGATACATACAGAATGTTTTTCTGGAAACAAAGCCTGGTCAATGATATATGTTATAGTAACGTCAATACTCAATAATATACCAGCCCACCCACAGTATTAGTAATAAATAAAAAAACAAATCAATATAGAATCTATTGTAGTCTACATGTATGAATCATAATCATAAATAAATTATTTATTTAATGTATAAGTTATTATGACAGTTAAATTCACGGTTTTAAAGACTTTTCTCAATGTTCCATTGGCAAAGTGCACTGAGATCTGGGGCATTATCTCCAAAACTTAACATACCCTGGTAAATAAAATCCAGATTCTCAGAAATACAGTAATCTGATTAAATAACAAAACTAAATATATAACAATTTTTGTGAGTGACCAATCAGATGACTTGAACACTAAAATCATCTTAAATTAAGTTTTCAAGGCCCCAAGGGACAATCCTGGTAAAGATCTAGATAGTTTCTTTAAATTTGTATTTTTCAACCTAATTTCTTCCTGTCTGTGTTGCTAGTATGAATGCTGTACTATATGAAAAGGCTAGAATCAGATTTGTTAATCTCTCACATTCTGAAATAGTTTATTTACAATCAAAGAAACCAAAATTCTGGGTCTGATTACTAGATAAAGTAATTTTAATGAAATTTGAAAGATTCCTTGTCTAGACTGTGTATGTTTCTAAATTAAGAGCTCTCAGTAATTAATTGATTAGATTTCACCCAGGTCTTCCTATAAACTAATTAGAATTGTCTTGTCAACCTTACCCTGAAGCTAAATGAAGAGGTGGGTCCTTTTAGACCACCAGAATGGTTTGGTCTGCAGTGAATTTCTCAATTCAATTATATTTTATAACCTATACATTTTACAAACAGAGACCAATGTACATAAGAATGAAAAAAAAAAAAACACACCAAGTTCTGAAGATCCCAACCTCAAAACAAAACATGAAATCCAAATTAGGAAGGATGTTTCAGTTGCATATTTCTCATCATCTGTACCATATTTTATAGTTCATAGAAATCATCTAAACTGAAAAATTGCCCTAGAGTTAGGTTTAAGTTTGGTTCCATACCAAATCTGATTAAAAGCCGAGTTGGCTTATATTATTACAAATTTATTGTATTGAATACATCTCGCTTGTCAGTGACATATTTCATGTATGAAAGCTCAATAAGCTTGGAGACTTATATCAATGAAAGTTTTATCAATTTTTTCATACCAGTTTCCATTTGCATGTATCTATGGCTTCTTTTCCAGAAATATTCACTTCTTGATATACTTTATTTTTCAGTAATTGAACAAAATATTGAACAAGAAGAACATTCGAACAAATCATCGGCAGACCTTAGAATAAGAAAAACACAGGTAGGAAAAAAAAAACGCATCTTGATTTTGATGAATATTTTTTTTTCTAGAACCACAAAATATTTTGTCATTTAAGGATGCTGATAATATTTACTAATTGAATGAAAATGATTAGTGTCAGCCAAAATGTGAGATTAAACCCCAAGTTAACAGACATATTCTGTGTTCTTTGAGTCTAAATCATAGTATACCAGACACTCCTTTCTCAAAATATCTTGTGATCTATTTAAATCTGTAAATCTGGTAACAATGTAATGGTATTAGGGTGAAGAAGTCCCATAAAAACTCATGTAAAGCACTGGCTGAGGTCATAAATTGTGTTAGTTGTAATGCAATGAATTTTCAACTTCTTCATTGATACTGGAACTAAATATTTAGGCTGAATACTGAAAATTTGATAGTATAAAGTGTAATTCCAAGTCTGAGAAGTGGTGCCCAAGAAATAATAATGGTGGAAAGAGATTAGGAATCTAGACAGGCTCTGTTTTATTTTACATTTATTACGATCTGAAATCAAATTATTTCTAAATGACAATGCCCTGACTATTATATTGATATATACTGTGAAATGATGGTTGAATTATTGTGAAAACTATTGGAAGTTTGTTTTCCAACTGTCTGGTTGATGCAATGGATGTCATGCTTAAGAAATCTAGTTAAAGTTTTTCCAATGTAATGTCAAATGCTTGTCATCTTAGGCTGTTGATATTCTTGCCTGTAAAAATATCTTGAAGCTTGAAATGTATTGAAAGATAATGCCTGGAGCTCTTTATTTTGCTTGATATTTCTTCATGTTTCTACAACAAAATGTGTGGATTTCTGCATTTTTATACATTTATAGCATCATCTAAGTCCTAGCCAGTTAACTCAATGCAAAGAAAAATACAAGAAATGTTACAAATTGAGTAATATTTCTACAATTCCCATGGTCCAATAATGTAATTATAGCTTAAAAAGGGTACAGTAGGCCTAATATAGAATGGAGTAGACCAAGACTGAACATTGATCTCTTTAGGGAATAGATATATCAAGGAACCTTTAGCTTAACCTGATCATTCACTGATTGCTCACTTCATGAAGCTGTTCTCAATTTTCATTCAAACCTTTATTTCTTTATCCTCATGCACAATCCAATCAACTGCATCCATTCAATGAATTAAAAAGCATAAGACTTAATTCATTGCTTCCTTCATTCATTCATTTATTAATTCATTCATCAGTCTAGCATGTTTTAAGCCATTCAACAAATTCTGTTTGAATCTTTCATTCATTCATTGTGTTGTTAATTCCTCCTTTCCTTAATGTATTAATATGTCCTTTCACAATACCTTGGAAAAATCAATACATCCAGATTTGTTTTTCTCCGATCAATTATTAATTCATTCTTTCAATGACCCAATTATATTCAGAAATATTTGTACACTCAGCGTGTTTTAAGATCTTATTAGAGCTAAATTTAGAACTTGAAGCGGCCTGGCAAAAGTGGAAGGAACATGACATAGAAGTCAAATGACTCAAAGGAATTCTTTTCTAACCTCTGTATATGTGTATCGGGGCCACTTATAGCAGTTCTATTGACACCATTCTATAGTCTATGACTTTCATAAATCCAGAAAATGTTAACAAGATTATGGCATCAGTAGCACATAACCAGACTTACTCATAGACCTGGAATTTTTACTTGCAGAACATTGATTCTTGTTATTGCATCATAACTACACCCTATTCCTTTATATAATTCATAACTGGTATTTGAGTCATGATAGATCTATAATATTATATGTTTTCAAAAAATCTCAAGCATTTCATTTTAAAGGGGTTTTATGTCTTCATTTTGTGATTGTATACTTTTTTTTGTTTGGTATTCTCTATTCATTATTAGTGTGTTAAAAGATTTGGTAAAATGACTTCATTTTCTTCTGAATTAATTTGAGATAAATGAATTTTTAAGCTTCTGCCATCCTGTTTAAGGTCTGTTGAGAGTTTGATATTTGGAAACTCCAATAAAACTAGTGATATTGTCCTGATAACCGTTTTTATTGGGTGAATACAATGACCTTATGTCTAAATTGGTTTACTGAATCATTCACTTAATTTGTCTGAAGGTCAAAGGTTACAGCATGACACTGACCTCATAGTGATGATGTTCGAATGAGGGTATAATGACATTAAAGTCAACCCTTATCATCATAAGATCATAACTCTCCTACCAGTCTTTCCAATTCCATGGATAATGCTAGGTAGTGAACATTGACCTCTTGAAGCGTAAAGCAGATCTATTATCTGGAGAATAGATAAACCAAAACAAACCAGTTAGCTACATGGACACTCCAAAAGAAATGCGTGACAAAATTAGTGGCATCTTGTGTTCTCTTTGAAGAAGAAGTAGCTTAAAGCCACAATTTTGAATGAGCTTAATGCGTTAAACTTCTTTGTGATGCAGGTTACAAAATATTACATTTTTAAGGTTCCTTGATGTAATTAATGCTTTGAACTTTGTCTGGAAAACTAATACTTATGACTGTTACTAATTTCTAGCCTTAAGTTAGAAAACTAGTAATGTCAGTGGAGATGACCTTATTGGTAGCTGTTTTATGATGATACAACTGGTACTAAAATTAACCATGAGACTATTTTTATAGTTATTGATTATGACCATTAAAAGCCTTCTTACAAGATGTGATTTTGTCTTTCCGATTGTCAATAAGATTGTCTAATCGACTAAAGGTTAAGATAAATCATTAAATGTATTTTCTAAATTCTTGAAAAAAACGAAGTCAAGTAGTTGAAATGATAAATCTGAAGTTTTTAGTGATGGGGTAAGGGGGCATCCTAGCACCTCTGTGTCCCTTTGCGGTTTTTAAAAGGGCACTAGTCAGGGTGGCCTGGAAAAATTTGTCATGTTTGAAGCCAGAGAAAACATCCAATGCGAAAGTAGAATAAATTTTTAATGTGTATGGCCCAAAAATTGCCGCCTAAATAAGCCACTGCATTCACTCATTTGCTATTTTTCACTCCTGTTTGGTGGTTTAGTACATCTCAGAAGATTCTTACCAGCTGAAAGACTAATTAGACTATTGAAGCGAAGGTGGTCTACTTATTAGAGATACAGTTACTAATTAACTGAAGCAGTATTTTTATAGTTATTATTCATATTGATTCATTGATTGAAATTAGTAATCCCTGAGATTGGTTCAATACAGAACTGGTATAATTAGTCCGGTCGAATTGCTGCTCTCTAAGACAAAGCCAACCTAGTTTGAACTCTCTATACTTATTTGACCTCTGGTAGCCACTAGAGTTCGTGCAATATACAGACAGATCAAAATTTACACAAGAATGAGACTATGAGAACAAATCCATGAAATTAAATTGCATAGAGAATACATGATTTTATAGCATTATCTTGTAATAGAAAAATCACTGTCTCTAGGCTTACTATTTCTATTTCTGATATAATTATATAGACTTGATATATGTCTGACTGTTCCTCAAGCACCTGCCTTATGCATTAATTCATAACATTGATAAATCTATAAGAATATAAATAATTCAAAGATATTACTTAATACTTACCATGTAATCAGAAGATCTATTCTGAATTGTGAGAATAGACCTAGATAAAAAAGGGTTGTAAAGTAGTTTCTAAACATTTAATGTGTATTGGGGACACTGGTGGAATTGATTTTTACTGTTTCTTTCAATTTTCAATTAGATGTCTGTTCTTGCAATAGCAAAAGCTGCTATTTGTATAAGAACCTTGTGTGATAGTGACGTCATAAAACGCTGGTAAGTTTTAGTGGAATTGCTGGAACAGACATCTGATGGAATCGGAATGGTTAATATCGATGCCCCCAATACACAGAAAGCCTATTTACAATCCTTATAATAATGGTTATTTACTTATTCAACTTAGAATGCGGTCAGTAGATACAATTGTTCATGTATCACTTTGTGATATTTATAACATCTATAAGGATATGAATTATTCCAGAATATTGCTTACTATTCTAGGAAATGGTCAGCAGATATAATTGCTTATATATCTGTAGAATACTGGAATCGGTAAATCTGTTGTATGTATAATAGGTCAGATTCAGAATGTGTTATTTTACCTTCTGAATGATGAAATCTGTGAATAATAATGAATAATTCAGTTATATTACTTCTACGAAAATCATCTACCTCAAAAGTATACATGGGAGCTGTAGTGGCTCAGTGAGTTAGACGCTTGCTCAGTAACCTGAAGGTCTAGAGTTCAATCCTGACATAGGTCGAGATAGGTTTTCAACCTGGAGCCCCCCTGTCAGCGATGCAGGTGAGAGGGGCTGACATGGAAAAAATGTCTATTAGTCCGGACAATAAACCAAGCTAATCTATTCATGATAGAAAAATGAACCAAATAATTGAATGCAATTGGTTTGCCAACCTATACTTTTTCCCAGTTTTGAAATATAGTAAATTGAAAGACATAGAATGTACTGTTTCAGGAATGAATTAAAGTCTTGAACTTCTGTTTAATTATTCCAAAATTCCAATCTGATTAAGTGGGCATGCAATATAGGATGTACTCAATACCCAGGCTTTGTATTCTTGAGACGATCTTAGCACTAAGATAACCTAAAAATGGTGATAGAAGTAAAACCCTAGGACATCCTAGAAACGGTGTTAAAAGTTAAAACCCTAGGACATCCTAGAAACAGTGCTGGAAGTTAAAACCCATGGACATTCAAGAAACAGTGTTAGAAGTTAAAACCCATGGACATCTTAGAAACAGTGTTAGAAGTTAAAACCCATGGACATCCTAGAAACAGTGTTAGAAGTTAAAACCCATGTACATCTTAGAAACAGTGTTAAAAGTTAAAACCCATGGACATCCTAGAAACAGTGTTAGAAGTTAAAACCCATGTACATCTTAGAAACAGTGTTAAAAGTTAAAACCCATGGACATCCTAGAAACAGTGTTAGAAGTTAAAACCCATGGACATCCAAGAAAGAGT